TCTATCTATCTATCTATCTATCTATCTATCTATCTATCTATCTATCTTCCCCGTTGATTTTGATCATCAGAAGGACATAAAAGATGGTTACATGACCTCAAGACACTGCAAACATAATACATGCCAGTTGCCATGTGTCAGAATTTTGATCATGTGACCATGAGGATTCTGCAATGGTTGTGTGAAAAACAGTCATAAGTCATGTTTTTCAGTGCTATAACAATTTCAAATGGTCACTAAATGAATGAGCTTAAGTCAAGGACTACCTGTACGAACCTGCTACTAAAAAATAAAAGTATTTTCTTTATTAAATGTTTGCATTTCTTTTACTTTCATCCTTTATTCCACTTACCTGGTGGAATAAAAAAATAGTTTCCATCAGTCAAATAATAGCTTTGATCATACAGCATGAGAAGAAGTTTACCATAATCAACGTGAAAGATCTTGAAAAATAAAAGTCATAAGCATAATTTTAATTGATGTTTTATTCCCTGGAAACACGATAGAATATTATTTTCTTTAATCTTAAAATTAACCAGAATCTTGAATCTTAAGTCTGTCTACATAAAAATAAGACCTACAACACTAGCTGCATTTTGGTTGTACTCCAAAACCCAAGTTCTATCGTCAGTTGCAGGAACAGGCTCACAGAATCCTATACTAAATAATTTTAAAAGCAGTAATGAATATCTGCTCTGCTGATTCACATCAGGTGTTTTGCATTTCACTCCAGATATCTTGGAAACTAAGACTGCTAAACTCTACGTCATTGCGTCACAGTCCTAAAATTTTCCTTCATTTGTAGGAAGAATCAAACAGCTATTCCTTAAAAAATAAGAACAGCCTATCCCCAGGATATGAAAGATATCAGAACAGATATATTTAGAAAGAAAATGCAGAAATGGCAGAAATCAGACTTTTATTTCCTATCTGAATTATCTATTAATAGAGAACGAAGATGTTTTCTTCCCATGCAGCCTATTTTGTAAGAAACAAATAATCTAATGGCCTTGTTCTCTTCCACTGTTGAGGCAAATTCTTAAGGTTCTTTACACAAATGTAATCCCTAGAATAGTTGGGATTTGAACAGAAATCTTTACTCGTCTATGAAGCTTAAGAGTTCATTTTTGACATCCTCTTCTCTTGGAAGCAGAACTATGATTGATGAAGGAGAAGTTCCTTCCATTGTACCCAAATCTAAGCCCTGTTTCTAATTCAAAGTGGAATTAGGAGCTCTGGTGGAACAGTGGTTAGAATGCAGTACTGCGGACTAACTTTGCACACTGCCTGTTCCGACAGCTCAAGATTGACTCAGCTTTCTATCCTTTAGAGGTCAGCAGAATGAAGACCAAGGGGGGAGGAAAGGAAAACCCTGTCGGCTGGGAGGGTTGCTGCACATGGACTGAAATGCACATGATGGGAAGCAGAGCTGGTATTCAGCAGGTTCTGATCAGTTCTGGAGAACTGGTAGCAGAAATTTTGAACAGTTTGGAAAACCGGCAAATACCTCTGACTGGCCCCATTCCCATCTATTTTCTGCCTCCCAAATCCCAGCTGATCGGCTGGGTCTTCTTTTGTTGCCCTGCACAGGGGAACAGAGCTGGAAAGCAGGTTAGTGGGATGGAGAGGGAATGGGATTTTGCAGTAACCTTCCCCTGGAGTGGGGAGGGAATGGAGATTTTACAGTATCCTTCCCCTACCACACCCACCAAGCCATACCCACAGAACCAGTAGTAAAAAAAATTTGAATCCCACCACTGCACTGGGAAGTGCAGAAGCTGGCTGATGGTGGCAGAGGAATGCACCAATTAGCTGGAGAGAAAGTGCAGATCAGCTGGAGATCCGGAGCTCATTTCAATCAGCTGGAGAGTGGCTGGGTAGCAGGCATGCTGACAGGAAGACAGAACATCCGCAGCTGAAGCTTCTCAGCCCTTCTTGGAGTCCAGAAGCTGCTGGTGAGGCACAGGCCAGGCAGGGGTTCCAAAACCAGTTTTGAAGCAGCAGCAAGTAGAGCTGACTTTGATTGTGGGTCAGTTTTGTGCAGAGTTTGCAAGCCTGTATTAAATACACATCATGCCAAGAACTGTGTTGCTTGTTTTCTGATTCTGGAAGCTTGGAACGTGACAATGGGATGGCAATGCATAGCATAACATAGAACAGAACAGAATCAACAAAGTTGGAAGCGACTTGGGATATCTTCTAGTCCAACCCCTCAAGCAGAAGATCGATACCCTTCCAGATAAGTGGTTGTACAATTTCTTCTTAAAAATCTCGAGTAAAGAAGCATCCACAATTACTGACATCAACTCATTCCACTGATTGGTTGTTCTGTCAGGAAATTTCTCCTTTGTTATAGGTTGGATCTCTCCTTGATTAGTTTCCATCCATTGTTTTTTGTCCTACTTTTAGGTGCTTTAGAGAATAGGCTGAACACTCTTCTTTGTGGCAGCCCTTTTTAGATGTTGGAAGACTACTATCATGTCACCCTAATCCTTTTTTCATTAGATATACCACTTCTGCAAATGTTCATGTTTTAGCCTCCAATCCTCTAATCATCTTTGGTGCTCTTTCTCTGCACATCTCAACATTTTTTAAATTTATTTGTAACTTGCCTTTATTATTTTTACAAATAATTAAAGGTGGTGAACATATCCAACACTCATTCCTCCTCCTATTTTTCCCACAACTAACCTGTGAGATGAGTTTACTTCAGGTATATTACCTTTCATATGTTACAATTTACATTACATGCTACTAAATGTAAAAATTACATTTATTTCAAAGCATTTTATTTTTCAACTGTTAATATCAACAGGAAAAATTTACAATGTTGATTATTATTTGTTAAAATGTTTGCATATCTGTTTTTATTTTTAATCTCATAGTCTGAGAATATTTTATAAATGAATACCATTTAAAATTAAGCTAAAATAATAGCTGAAGTTGAGGACCCGGTGGCAAGGCAAGGACGAGTAGAGGTGCAGAAGCCCATCTGTGGTTTCAGCTTATCTCTTTTTGCGGTTGGTGCGATCCCCAGAGGGTGCTCAAATCCTGGAGAGATTCGTGTCAGTGTGGGGGATACTCGGGCTGCAGTGTGGGGAAGGCAACCCCCCGGCAGCAAAGAGGAGCCCTCCAAAGCCCAACGTGCAAGTGACAGTTCGTAAGATCGGTGGAGAAAAAGGTGGCAGGAAGAGCTTAACGGTGGAGAGGAAGATCGGCAAATTATTTTTCGCACTAGTGTCTGTCGGAAGCTTGAAAGGAAAGCAGCTAAAAAGCGAAGGCTAGACAGGCATGGGCTAGACAAAGTTCGGCAGACCGAAGTGAAAGTGTGGATTACAACGAATGAAAGGGGAAGTCTACGAGGTCAGGAAAATACTGCTTGGAAAGAGTCGGGAAGTTGATGACCAGCAGCAAGTGGAATTAAGGGAGTGATAAGATGCTTCATTGGAAGGCCTGAAAGACTATGTTGAGGATAGACCATCTCAAAAAAGGTTGTTCTATCTGTGTGGTCATTAAGAGTGGATGCCAGCTTGGTAGCACATGATCACTCATTCAATGTGATAATGTGGAGAATTTTGAACACTTGAGTGGACTGTTATTTTGATGGACTTTCTAGGATAAACTTTATTAAAGCAAAGACGAGGAACGAAGCTGGTGAAGAAGAGGTAGCGTGGCGCTATACGAAATACATAGAAACTCCGAAGTCATTGCAACAAAATATCAGATATTAACTGTTTAACAGACCTTTTAACTGATCCTGAGGAGAACTCTATCTTATTCTATACTAACTGAAGTGGGGGTCATACGTGAAGGAAATTAATGTATTGAACTTAGGAACATTTACACACACACACAAAAAGAGTAACTTGGAAGTTTCGGAAGATACTGATTGTTGGCAGTTATTATTCAGCACTTTTTACCTCCCTACTTCCGGTGTGTTTGAAGAAAAAGTGCATAATCCTAGAAACGGTGGACTAAAAACTGACTTTAAAATCCTGTCTTCTTATTGCTCTACCTCTTTTCTTTTCTCTTTTTTCTCTTTGTATAACTCTGCTTAATTCTTTTCCTTATCTTTTATTTACTGATTTTTTGGTGTTAGGATGAATTTTTTCTCTCCTTTCACTTTCTCTTTATAACGACTATAAATTTATCTATTGAGGAAAGGAGTACTGATTGTTATATTGGATTGCTAGATAACTGATTTAATTGTTTTGATTAATTCACAATATTAGGGATAGTTATACTTCAACCAGATTGATAGGGAAAATAGCAAGAAGGTTAAGAACTATTTAATCAATAAGTATAAGACTTAATATTTAATGTTATAATAGTATAATTTAGTGTGTGATTATAACCAATCTATTGGGGAAAGAAATAATACTGTTTAGGTTCAAGAATACTGGTGACTAATAATACTTAGAATATCTAATACTCAAATAGGGTTAGATAAGGTTAGATAAGAATACACATATATATTTACAATACTTATAAACTTACAAAATCTAAACTTGGTTAGATTTGATATACTATTTATTATATATATTTATTATATGGAATGTTATATAGTTTTGTATAGTGTTGCATAGTATTTGAACATAGACTTCATAAAATTATATACGTGATTGAGAATTTAGGATTAAAAATAACATATATTTATATATTTCAGTTACTAGTTAAGAATACAGAATACAGCTACCTAGTAGTTAAATGGACTAAGCAATTAGATACTGGAATTCTAATATAGGGGTTATAATACTGAATGGTAATTTGGGATAATATAACTAATGTAATCCAACAACAGAAACAAATATTAAAAGAAATGACTTCTACAACGACCACGGCTCTGAAAACTGGAAGGAAGGCTACCCCGACTTTAACAACTACCCTGGCAACAGCTTCGCCCACTGTTCAAAAAACCATAGAAGAATCGCTACCAGGGGAAAAACAAACTAATGTCTCAAATGCCAATATTCAATCAACTTTGCCAACCCTACAAGAATCAATGAGAAAACTTAAAGAAATAATGATAAAAAATCACAACGAAACAAGAGCAGATATTAGTGAATTAAAAGAGGAGATGGGGAAATTAAAAGCTGAGATGAAAGTGGACATCCTTAAAGTAGAGGACAAAATTGGAACACTACAACAGGCCCTGGAAAAAAAATGAAGCAACGATAAAAGAAGTAGAGACAAGGAGGGAACAAACGGAAAGGAAATTGGAAAGGGTAGACGAAGAACTAAAAAATATGAGCAAAGAAATGGAGGACTCATTGGTCTACCTAGAAATGGACAAGGCGGCTGCATACCTGAGATTCCAGAATGTTGAGGAATCCAAGGAAGAAGACCTGGAGCAGCTAATGGCAGAAATACTGGCCGGACTACTAGGAAATGACAAAGATGATATACTTAGAGAATTTGATGAAGTCTACAGGGTCAGCACCAA